GGTATCCATATAGGTCCTTAAGAACTTATAAGGACCAAAGGAAGAGAATGAGAAGGAAGGACTCCCTGGAGAAGAGCCTAATGCTGGGAACAATAGATGGCAAAAGAAGAAGGGGGCGGCAGAGGATGAGGTGGCTGGATGGGGTCACTGGGGCAGTTGGCGTGAGCTTGGGTGGACTCCGGGGGATGGCGGAGGACAGGAAGGCCTGGAGGAACGTTGTCCATGGGGTCGCAAAGGGTCGGACACGACTTTGCCACTAGCAACAAGAACCAAAGAAAAGACCTGCTGGACCAGACCCAGACTCCATCTGGTCCAGCATTTTAGTCACGTACTGGCCAACTATTATTTATTTTATTTATTTATTTAAAACATTTTTATGCCATCCCCATTGCAACGAAGCCTCAGGGTGGCTCACAACAGAAACAAAATACATAAATACATAATAGCAATATAACGATAAAAAAATATTTAAAAACCTCCGGTGCATCTCGGCTAAAAATGTAAAATCCTATAAATACAAATAATTTAACAATTAAAATAAGTTTTAAATAAAAAGACTTTAGCCTGGCGCCGAAAAGCAAATAACGACTAGCTGCCCGTTGGAAACCCATGGACATGAGGACAACCACACTGGGCCACCCATGTACCCAAGCATCTGTTGTACACAGATAGACTGCCTCTGAGACTGGAAGTGCACGTAGCCAACAGGACGAGCGGATTTTGCTTGCCTTCTCCGTGAATTTGTCCAATCCCCTTGTAAAGCCACGCAACTGGGTGGTCGTCATGCCATCCCCTAGAAGTGTATTCCACAGTTCAAATGTGCCCTTTGCACAGTATTTCCTTTCCTCTGGCCTGATTCTCCTATCAAGCAGTTTCACTGGCCGCCCCGAGGTTTCGGCAAGGGGCGGCATAGAAATGTTATAATAACAATAACAATAACAATAACAATAATAATAATAATAATAATGTCTCTGGGTTCTTGTATTACGGGAGACGGGGGAAATTCTCCCTCTGCACTTTCTCTGCACCGTGCATAATTCTGCACCCCTCCGGCACCTCTCCCCTTGCTTCACCACCTTCCAGGCTAAATACACCTCCAGCTGCCCATTGTGGGGGCAGAATGCCCTGCTTGTGGTTCACATGGGCGTTTCACGGGTTCCCATTGTCCACTGCATGCTGAGAGCTGATGTTCCATTGCTCAGATCCAGCCTAGCTCTTCGAATGTGCCTCAGTGGCCTTGGAGGTAAAGCTTGGAAGGACCTTGATCCGAGTCCACCAACTTAGGCACTATGAGGTGAGAAGGACTAGGGTTAAAACTGGGGTGAGTCAGTTTGAGATAGATTCCTGAGCTGAAAGACAACCTTTGTGACACAGGGGATTGCAGGCTAATTGTGCGTCTGACAAAAACTGGTTGGTTAACTCCCTCCTCTCGTTCTATAATTGCATGTGGGGTTGCGGTGATTTCAGTCTGCGGAGATACTTATCCGTATTCTTCTGTCTGGAGAACCTTAATTTGCATTTTGAAAAAGAGAAAACAAAGTACAATCACCTTAGTTAACCAGCATTATATGCTCACAATAGGTACAATATGAAGAATATTAGGCATATTAAAAATAATCAATATTCTTTGTCAGATTGCACCTTGCATAATAAAATGCTTTGCAGTGGAATGCTCTGAACTGCAATCAGAAAAAAATGCTATGATCTCTTAGACTCTCTTCTTCTTCACATGTAACTTGGAATATTGCCCGCCCACCCCCAATCAATTATTTTGGATCAATTGATAACTTTCTTCCTAGAAATGGGTTCATCTTGTCTTTCCTATGTTTTGATGTCTACCTTTGTTTTGGAGTTCTTGAAAATAAGCAACAGCTCACTTTCCCACCCCGCAAAGAAAAAAAGGAACACTAAGAAATAATTAAGAGCATTGTTATTACCTTAGCAACAAACGTCCATGGAAGATAAAGCTCATCTATTGATTGATGTTTAAATGGTTACTAAGGCAGAGATACAGACAAGTTGATGGACTCTATCATTTGCTATTCAGACCAAAAATATTCCTCAGATGCACTTAGAAATGCTGTTGTTTGCATCAGTGAGATAGAATAGAGAGCGGGTTCTTGCTCAGGATAACATAGCTTGGATTGCAGCTTTCTATCTCGATGCCAGATTCAGGGCGCTATTGTTGACTTATTTATTTATTAAAAGCTTTTCTAGCCCATCCGCCACTAGTATCTCAGGACAGCATACAAAAAAAAACCTGACTTATAAAGCCCTGAACAACTTGGCAACACCCTACCTTGCACAGTTGCTAGCCCTGCCCTCCTGAACATTCCCCTATGGTTGTAACATGACAGGAGACAACGGGCCTTAGATGCATAGGAGTCGAAGACCACGCAAGCTTTGAAGCTTTCTGGACCCCATCCCCTTCAAAGGTTGCAGACATGAGGTGGCCTGCAAGACAGTCGATGGATGGCAACTGAAAATGTGCTCTAAGATGGCCTCAAGATATGCACTAATCAAGGCTGGGAGTTTAAGACACTGTTGATACCTCAAGTGAAGCAAAATACTTCCTTTTTGTTTAATGAGATGGCAGAATACCTTAGGATATTTTCACATGACTTTAAGAGAAATCCCCCCTTTTCTCTTGTGCATCCTCCCTTTAAGTTCTGCCTCCAGCTATTTACCACTGCATTGTATTTATGTAAGGGGTGTGTGTGTGTGTGTGTCAGGTCCTCACTTTTACAGAAATTACAGCACTGGGTTGAAGTTCTTCCTTTCATGAGAGGAAAGGTTGCCCTCTATTCAACGCTGGCGAGGCCCTATCTTGAGTGCTGTGCCCTGTTCTGGGTGCCACGCTTCAGGGAAGACACAGACAAACTGGAACAAGTTCAGAGGAGGGCAGCAAAGATGATCCAGGGACTGGAAACAGCCCTATAAGGAGAAATAGGAAGAGCTGGGCATGTTTAGCCTCAAGAAGAGAAGATTGGGGGGTGTGGTAGCACTCTGCAAGTCCCTGTCACACAGAGGAGGGCCAGGATCTCTCCTCAATCTTCCCAGAGTGCAGGACATGGAATAATGGGCTTAAATTACAGGAAGCCAGGTAACTGGAAAAAGTTCCTGACAGATGCAGCAATGCAGCGATGGAACCAATTACCCTGGGAGGCTGCGAGCTCTCCACACTGGAAGCTTTGAAGAGGGAGTTGCACCGCCATCTGTCAGGGATGCTTTAACTTGCAGTCCTGTGTTGAACAGGGATTTGGACTCGAAGGCCTTATAGGATCCTTCCAAATCTATGATTTTATGATTCTATAAATGCAGGAAGGATTTTCAGCCTGATTTTTGATGGTCCCTGTCCCCACAAAGCTCTCTCCATTCACCATGGTGTCCTGAATCTCCTAGCATTTCGGGAGTCTGGTGTGGGGTTAGAGAAAGAGGGATGGAGGGGCAGAGAAGTCCCCTTTCATCAATATGATTGGTCCAGTATCTATCTGGACTCAAGCTAATATCACGTGTTTCATTTTGGTGTTGCTTTTGAATTCTGTTTCTCCGAAGGCAGCAGCGGGAGGTGGGCAGATGTGTGAAAGGCACCCGTTCCTTCCAGATAGCTGGAGCCGCATGTTCTGCTAGAATGACAGAGTCAAGATTTTATCTTGCACACTGAGCCAGTGGCTTGTTTCTTTTGTTTTATAGAGAAAGATCAAAATGATTTGGGGTTGGTGTCAGGAATGGAGTGAGTTGCAGTCAGGGAGACGGTGGTTTCTGTAGCAGAGGAAGAAACACTGAGGAAATTCTGCCTGTTGAAAAAATACATATTTTTCACAGGGCAACTGCAGTCGCTGGGCTGGTTCAGCGGGGAGGGTGTCTGTCAGGGCCCAGGGCTGGGGCGCGGGTGGCGGAAGGCAAGCCAGAGGCACTGGGACAGGGACAACGGAACCTGAGGGGAGGCAGAGTCCGAAGTCCAAAAGTGAGGTTTCATGGCAAGTCCAGATTGCACTCCCAGGGCAGTCCCAGGCCAGGAACCAGAAGTATGGATCGGGGCAGGCCAAGGAGCAAGCCCAGGTGTCGTGTGTATGTGCTAGGATGAGATTCCCAGGCACACACAAGAGCCGGAGGGGTTTGGTGGGAATGGCGGCTCAGACTCGGAGGAGGGGAGTGGAGCGCTGACCCAGCCGTGGCTCAGAGTTAGTTCTCACTCTCATATGGGAGTTGTTGAGACTAGTGAGGCCCCGGCTGCCCAAACTCTCCCGGTGAGCCAGCGCTGGATCAAAGCAAGGACAACCACTGAGCCCCCTCCCTCCTGATTGTAGGAAAGAAGCTGGTGGAGAACCGGCTGGGGAGGGGTTCTTGGGAGGAGAACTTCACACCCCTGGAGACGTGGACACGAGGGCCCATCAACACACTCACTGGCTGGACCAATTAGGGGCTCAATGGGAAGAGCACTGGAGCGCGCGCCCCCTCCAGAGACCAACCCCGCAGGGCTCATGAACAGAGCTTGGGCTGAATAGTGGGGAGGAAACCTGTCAGGAAAGTGCCAAGTTCCACCCATGTGCAAGAGCTGTCAGTGCCCGAACCGGGAAGCTGGGGATCTGCGCCCCCCTCCAAGAGAATGCATGTTAGATGGACTGTTCAATCCCGTTCGAGATCAGCACAGGAGCGTGTCTGCACTGACCCTCACTTAGCTTTCTGAAATGCTAACCATTTTTTTGCCTCTTTCGCTAAGTGTTCATTGACTGGACTTTAATTTCTTCCTTGCATAATGGTTAGTCGATGAACCGCCTGCCTTGTGCTATAGGAATGCTAATTGCAGTGTCAATGGTGATAGCATAATTCAGAAAAGCAACTGGCCCGCATCAGGACGGGGAGGGTCCCCTCCTCTTTGGGAAGCCACACGGTGATCCAGATGTGATCCCGCTAATCCTTATGGCACATTCTGCTGTCGCAAACTCGGGCGGCGGCAAAGCACCCAACCCATTGCTGATTCCTCTGTGCTTTTGCAGGTACTCCATCGACAAAGATCCTGCAGACTGGTTGGAAATTAACCCAAGAAATGGCACCATTCGCACGACGGGGATCCTTGATCGTGAATCACCGTTTGTCCTCAGCAATGTGTACACCGCTTACTTCCTGGCAATAGACAGCGGTGAGTCATGGCAATTCCTCTACGCAGCAGTGGGGTGGCTGGTAGGACGTGGGGCGGGCGGGCGCTCATCCCATCCATGGTAATCCCTGTTTTCCTGGAGAGCCCTTTCCTCCATGCCCATGTTGGATTTTGAACCAGTTCCTGTAGAATAATGGCGAGGGCCCCCATAGCAAGCTAATCCAGCGGTCTAGTGCAGAACGTTTGGCCTGCAGCATCCCTGATAGGTGACCCTCTGGTATCCGCTTCAGCAGATATCTCAGGCATGATTTTTAAAAGGAAAGCAAGCCAAATATTTAGCAACATCATCTGCATCTGACTTGGACACACATTGACTGTTTTCTTCGGAGGCCATTGGCTAACTTGGGTGGGGATGTGAGACACTTGAAAACCCATCCCATTTCCACTCAGTCGACTTGCTCACATGTTCAGCCCAACAGCCAAAAGTGGACTGAGGTGTCTGTGTGCGTTTGTGCGTGTAGGACTTGCTTCTGTGCATTTGCTCACCTTTGGACACAGAAACCAGCATCTCTCCAGCACAAGCTGTAGAAACTGTCCCTTGGAGGCCCAAGTGAAGAAAATGGAAAAATGCAGGCCAAGTTGAGGAAAGGTGTTGGAGAGTCTTCCCCTGTCAGATTTCTGACTCAACAACCAACCTTTAGCTTGTGCAATAAACAGAATGCAGACTGTTTGGAGTCTGGTCACGCATTTTGCATGCAAAATGTGCTGGGTTCTATAGGTACCAGGTGGTATGAAATCTATAGGTACTAGGCGGTAGGGGAGATCTCTGCATGAGAGCTTGGAGGTGTGCCACAAGTGAATGATGCTCTTATTTACTGGTAGCTTCTGAAGTTCAAACGAATAGGAACTGTGTCCCCTCTGGGCCACGGGAGCCCTCACCCCTCCTCGTTTATGGCTGGATTTGAACCTGGAGTGAGTAATAGTCCAAGTGGTTTTGGAGAGGGCCATTCCCTTGAAAACGTGTATAATCGTAGCAGATTACTACTGCTGGTCACAGAGGCTGCATATTTCAACCTGAGCAGAATAAATGTTATTTGCCCCCTTCCAAATATCTATATTTATATTAAGTCCATATTTATATTAAGCCCATGGCACCCCTGCATTAGTAACTAGTTCATCCTAGATTCTCTCATATTTAACATGTAATGGCAATTAGAATGAAAAGGCAATTAAAAACCCTTGTTAAAACGCAATATTTTTAACATATTATGTGGATTAAAGTTCCTTCTGTTGCACATAATCTAAATTAAAAGGATGTTATGAAAACTCATTGCAAGTTACTTTTGTTGCACATTAAAAATAGAGATTTGTGGAGAAAAGACGGAGTTCTCCTGCACAGCTGAAAGGCACAAAATAAATAAAGGCTTGGTACATAATGCTAATAAAGCTAATATGCTTACTCTTCTCTGAAATGCAGCTGCAGTGATGTATTGCAAACTGTTCCTTTTAAAGAGGTAATTTTACATATTCTTTGTAATGTGCCCGTTCGTACAGGGGAATATATGTGAGGGTTTGACAAGAATATGACTTTCAAATGCAAAACATTTGGGAAGTCCCCCACCAACATCGAGTGATTTAGCTGGGTAGTCACAGAAGTATTTGAGACTCCAACTTCAGAAGAAAGGACAGAAGCCATAATTTTATCTCAGCTTCGCTAAATTGTTGAATCTCCAGGAACTATTTGGCTGAGCACACTGTGATGGGATCCCGAGTCTCAGCACATGGATCTGGCAACTTTGGAGATGCCAAATCGGTGGATGGACACTGTGTGCATTGTATCTTTTGGTTGTGGGACCTTCATGACCGTGTGCCATTGGAATAGCAATTCTACCCATGACCTACTTTCTAGAACTTGCTTTTGCCAATGGCCAGTCTGTGCTAAGGACAGGTGGGGATTCATCAAAAGTAGTCAAGTTCTTCCTATTTTGGAGAGAAAGAACTTAATATTTAAATACTTGGATCTAGCCCAAATGGCAAATGGGATTTGTGGATTTCTGGTCCTTGCCTTTATCATTTGCCTGGAGTGTGAAGCCCACACAACTTCACAGCTTTACCTGCTCTAAGCAAGCTGGAACTATAAACACCATAAGAAATTGTCCGTTTTCAGCTATTTGAGTTCAAGCGACAACATGTTGCCGTATCAAATATGCACAGCTGTGCATCTTAACCTACAGTCTGCAGCAAACAGCGGCAAGCTGATGTCTTATAAATGATTCATTGAGCTTTAGACATGACTAACCCAAGAATGATTTTCCTGTGTTTCGCTGTCCACACTAGTTAATTCCCTCCACTGGTTTTCATCCCTCCAAGTCTTTTTGAAGTGATATTGTTGATCTGTGTAATTTCGTAGCCAACCTTTTGCATCTAATATAATGAAATCGATTCCACCACCAGTTTTCCTAGCCAACCAACACTAATGCCTAATTTTCTCGAGATTATTATGTCCCCAATGAGCTACATAATACATGTAGGCTGGCACTTGAATAATCTAATGTGATCTCAAAATCATTCCTGGAACTCTGAAGGAAGGTTAAATTAAGTGAGAGAACATTGGATAGAATTGTTTTGCAACTAGACTCAGGAAAAGGAGTGGAAACCATCCATAAAATCTAAATGCCGGCTTCACCTACAATTCTAATTTTTTACCAAAGGCTGGCCAAGGAAATGTGGGAAGGAGGGTAAGAGTTTCTCTGCTTCACAAGGAGGACACCAGGTAGGACAACATTGATGTCACTGGGTGCCCTCGTTACACTAGAAGAAAGTTCTAGTCAAGGGGATGTCCAGCTGGCAGCATTGTAGAAGTCACAATAGGCAGAAGGGCGGGAGCGATGGAGAGATTTGAGCTCTTGCACAGCTAATGGCAGAAAGCAAATAGGAAGAAACATGGTGCTGGGGAAGAGCTTTGTGAATCCCCTGGACCATCAGAAAGAGGAGCAAGTGAATCCTAGATCAAATCAAGCCAGAACTTGTCCTAGCAGCAAAAATGGTGAAACTTTGGCTACACCATCTTGAGAAGGCAAGACACCCTGGAGAAGACAATCATGCTAGAGGTGAAGGAAGAAGGGAAAGACCAAAGATGAGATGGATGAATTCCACAAAGAAGCTATAGTCTAGACGTCATAAGAACTGAGCAGGGCTGTCTAGAACAGTGCATTTTGGAAATAATTTGTTCATAGGGAACCTTTGGGTTACAGGATGGTGCAGAAGTGGAATTAAATAAATAATAAAGAAATAAATAGGGTCGACATAAGTCAAAAGCAACTTGATAGTACATAATAAAAAAATTAATAAGGATGCACTAGGACAGACTTGAAACAAGCTTTTTTCCTGATGAGAAAGATAAGCTAATCAGGTCAATTGGAATACCTTTTTTATGCTGTAAATAAGCTTAACTGACTGATGAATCTCTGTGAAAATTAATTTTCAGTCTCCATCTTTGACGTAGACATACTGATTTAAAGAATAAGACAACCAATACAAGGCAGCTGAAATAAGGAAAAGCTGCATAATAATTTGGTTAGACGTTTTCTTTCCATATGTTTTAACCTGTTTACATACATCAAGATGCCTAAAATTAAATTACCACAGATTGATTCCACCTAAAACATGCACTATTTGGAAAGAAATCAGGCAATTAGTGGCCATGGCAACAAAATTAAGCTCCTTTTACACCCTTTATTTTAATTGGTCTATTAATTGAAGAGGGAAAATAAATTGAATGCTCACCCTTTACTTGTCATTTTCAGTTTTAACAAAATATGAACTGCAGAGAAAATATTGTTTAAATTAGTCACTATAAGTGGCAGATCTGGGGGGAAAATAATTTGCAGCAAACTGTGTTTAAGATGGATAGCACATGTCAGTAGCTATTTGATAAGAGCTTTGCTTTTTGAAGTATAATTACTCAAGCAGAGGAGCCACACACATTGTTGAAATATATGAGTGAGTGTAATTTTAAAGAGCTATTTGTATGTGTGTGTTGGGTGGGGGGGTTGCTCATTTGTTTGTTTTTTTGCTTTTATAAATTGTGCAGTTAAATATCAGTTGATGGCACAGAGGGGGCTGGGGAGAGATGCAGCTTGCAAAACTTTAGGGACATGCATTTAAATTGGAGCATTTGGTAGGAGTTGAAGGCAGATAGACTGGATTGATTTTAAGTCAAGTGCAGAGATATTGGTGGAACCGTGTGATGTAAAACCAGCTAGTAAGACGGATGGATCAAGAAGATTGTGAGGCCAAGATTAACACATGAATGTCCATCCTTCAGTGACGAGTCCTTGAGTGCCAATTTTCATGCCTGCTCCCTGACTGACACGCTCAGTTGTTAAAGTTGTTTCGAAAGGCTCTCTAATGTTCTACTGATTTCTACACACACATTTCAGTTTACGTAGATTTTAAAATACATTAAAAATACCAGTGATGAAAAAGAAAAGGAGCTAACAATACAATGACCTAAACTTCCTTATTGTGAGGAATGGGTACCCTTGCTGCTGACAGCATTTCATGTTTTTTTTTTATCAAAAAAGAGGTGAAGAGGTTATTAAGATTTAACAGGAGGGGCAGTGAACTTTCTCAGTGTCCAAAAGCTAGAACAGTGTCCGGGGCCTCGTGGCCTTTACTTGTTAGGAAGAACACCAGGAATAATTGCCTCGGAGCTGCCTTCCCCAAGTGTTATGTAGAGAAGTGCTGCTTTTTCTGTGGAAACAAAACTGTTCACCTTGCTGAAGCAGGTTAGTGCCTTTGGAACAGTGTGGGAGAAGAACTTTACAGAATCCACTTCAGTTCAAGTGGCTAAATTGGACAAGTGGTTAAGGAGATAAGAAAACAGGAAGAGCAATTGCACCAAGGGTCCATCCGTCCGTCTGTCCGTCTCTATCCATCTCTCTATCTATGGCATTTTATACCGTTCCTATTTAGTCTATGGCTCTCAGGATGGTTTACAACATATTTGTAAAAATCTAGTCCAGAATTCTTTACAAACA